CCAGGACCAGATCCCTCTACGTCCAAAGTATGATATCATCAGCTGATTGAAAGTAGGTCCAGAAAATTTAACACCATTACAGACCCTTCCTGTGGCAGTACCACTGGTGGTGTATCTGCCAGCAGGAGGCAGCTCAATGCACTAGGATTTGTTACTTGGCCTCCCGGACAGTGTCCTAACTTGTAATCATAAATACTTAGTATTACAGCCTACTACTGAATTCGGCCTGAAGCAATGAGCAGCACTGCCTTGTTCTCTTTCAGTAGACCCAACAGAGGTTTGTCATCATTATTATTACAAATTGATGGCCATAAAAGGTATTAGAGAAACTCCCTGACTCTAAATATGACTGCCAGACCTTCCTTCTCTATCTTGGCGCAATTATGCTCTGCATTAGCCAAAGTCCTGGATGCATACACTATTGGGCGTTCCTCTCCATTGGGCCACCAATGCCGTATTCGGGGAGGCATTGCATGTCAATGCCAGGTCTCACTTGGAATCATTGCCTTCCAACAACTTAGAGGATGACAGCTGGTTCTTCACTTCCCAGGAAGCTATCGTTTGGCTACGTGCCCATTTCCAAGGCTGACTCTTTTTTAAGACCTGATGCAAAGGTGTCAGGATGGAGGCCAGGTTATATATTAACTTTCTGTAATAGTTCACCAGCCCGAGGAAAGACCTAAGCTCTGGTACAGAGGTGGGAACTGGTACACTTTTTATTGCCCTCACGTTATCTTCCAAAGAGTGTAATGCACTCTTATTGACTCTGTAGCCCAAGTAGGTCACTTGGGGTGCCGAGAACACACATTTTTCCCTTCTTTGGCACTCATCCTCTTTGGGAAAACTATGTTCAAGTTCTCTAGGTGCTCTTTATTGGTCTTCCCTGACATTAGCACATCATCGAGATAAATGGCAACATGGGATAGACCTCATAGAATGTTCTCCGTACGCTGAAAAATTGCACAGGCTGATGATACCCCAAATGACCATTTCGTATATTGCTACAAACCCTTATGGGTAGTAATTGTAGCAAGCTTCTGGGAAAAGAATAAAATAGAATATCCTTTATTGTCACATGTACTCAAGTACGGATGTAAAGGAGTATGGTGAGAAGTTTCACAATGTTGCCTGGCGCCATCTTACGTGCAGGTACCCTAGGTACAAATCTTAGATACAAGAGAGGAAGAAACAAGAAAAGTAGTTGCGTTACTTTACAAATATAAGACATAGTTAAAAGGATAGCGACTACAGTCATATAAACAAATTCAAATAAACAGTACATTACAGTAGCTGAGCTGAGGGGCTTCCACACATGGTCTGACCACCCGCACCAAACCCTAGTCCAGCTACCGTCCCCACTCCGCTCCAAGCCTCCAGTCCGCCCCACACTGGCTCTCAGCTGCTCCAATGTAAGTTTTCTCTAGGACCCTGTTCCCCTCCTCGCTGTCTCCCTGCTCCAGGACTCCGATCCCCCACCCCCCGCCCGCCCCCCCCGCTCCGGGACTCCGATTTCCCCCCCCCCTTCACCGGCACCCCTGCTCCGGGACACCGATCCCCCCTCGCTGGGCCCCCACTCTGGGACTCCGATTGTCCCTCCCCCCTTGCCGGCACCCCTGCTCCAGAACACCGATCCCCCCTCGCCGGCCCCCACCGCTCCGGGACACCGATTCCCACCCCGCCCTCACTGGTCCCCACTGCACCAGGACTCCGATTCCACCCCCACCTCGCCAGCACCCCCCGTTCTGGGACTCCCATCCCCACCTCGCCAGCACCCCCTACTCTGGGACTCCGATCCCCCCCTCGCTGGCACCCCTCGCTCTGGGACTCCGATTCCCCCCTATTCTGGGACTCCAATCCCCCCTCGCTGGCACCCCGCGCTCTGGGACTCTGATCCCCTCCCTGGCTGGGAGTCCAACCCCCCCCTCGCTGGCACCCCCCACTCCGGGACTGCTTGTCTGCGGTTCCGGGGTTTGCCTCTGGGATTTGCCAGCTCCTCCATTTCCCTCCAGGTAAGTCAAAGTCATTAGTTGGAAAACAAAGCAGGAAGGAGGGAAAGAAACAGCGAGAGAGAAAAACAAAGAGAAAGAACGGTTGGAGCAGAGGAGTCCCGGCTGGGGCGTCTAACTCTGCTGCCATCTTGCAATGTGCACAGGGAATCCTCATCTAATCGCAAATGCAGGTACGCATGGCTCATGTCCAGCTTTGTGAAGGTCAGCCCTCCCTGCCAGCTTTGTGTATAAATCCTCTTTGTGAGGGATTAGGTATTTATCCAGCTGTGAAATGTGTTTTACTGTTTGTTTAAAATCCTCACAAAGGTGAACCGGCCTGTTGGGCTTCCAAACTGGTATGACCCGGTGCTGCCCATTCCACAAGTTGGACTGGTTTGATGATTCCTTCGCTTTCCAGCCTCCTGATTTCTGCCTCTACTTCTGCCCATAAGGCAAGTGGCACTGGGAGGGCCTTGCAGAATCATGGGATTGCTTCCTGGTCAACATGCAAGGTGACCTTGATTCCTTTGACAGTCCCTAGACCTTCCTGAAAGACTTCTGGGTATTTAACTAGGATTTCACTCGGGCAGCCATTTACTAACTGAAAAATATTTGGCCAATCTGAGCAAATTTCTCTCAAACAATCTCACTCCATCAAGCTTGGGCCTGAGCCTTTTACTACAATCATTGGTAACTGAACCAGCTGCTTCTCATAAGAGACCAGAACCGAATTTGTAACCTTAACCTGTAAAAGTTTCCCAGTATAGGTTCTCAGTCTAGCTGAGGTCTTGTGCAAATGTAAGGGTTGGAGTCCAGGGTGAATTTTGTTAAAGACTGATTCTGCGATCGCTGAAATGGCTATCGACCTCTGTTAGAATCGGGTAACCATTTAGCCAGACATTTATTTTGATTGGTTCCAATTTGAATGTTGCTAATCAATTTTACAAGTCCACGCCAAATGTAGGTGGACTTCCCAGGGCATACAGTCTCCTGGCTACCAGCCTATGTGTCCTCTTACTCAATTTAGATTTATAATCAAAGAATAGAATCCCCACAGTGTGGAAACAGGCCCTTTGGCCCAACAAGTCCACACTGATCCTTAGAGCATCCCACTGAGACCCATCCCCTAATGTACACATCCCTGAACACTACGGGCAATTTAGCATGGCCAATCCACCTAACCTGCACATCTTTGGACTGTGGGAGGAAACCCACACAGACACAGGGAGAACGTGCAAACTCCACACAGACAGTCACCTGAGGGCGGAATCGAACGCAGGTCCCTGGTGCTGTGAGGCAGCAGTGCTAACCACTGAGCCACCGTGCCACCCTTTAGTAGGCCTCCTTTACTGTCTTGAGTCCACATACCAGCAGCAACTACAAAGCCTTATTGGCCTGGATACTGAAGAAAATGTTAACATTTGGCTGAGGCTTTGTTCTGGGGTTTTGCTGTGGGCTGACCCAGAGTCCCCCTGTTCAGGATTATGCCCTGACTGAGGCTATGCAATTGCCTTCACCCAAGTGATGTCCCCCAGTCAGTCGGACTTGCAAGGGTGTCCACTTCCATTGGAATATCTGCAATGCATATGCTCCACTTGTTGCATTTTCCAATGACAAAGCCAGTTGTAATGCCTGTTTCAAGTCCAGTTGGGCTTCAGCTAGTAGGTGCCTCTGCATGCTTACATCATTAATCTCACATACCAAATGGTCTCTCAGCATCTCACTGAGGGTTAAACCAGTCACATGCCTCCGCTAGTCATCTTAACCTAGTCAACAATCCTGATATGGATTTGCTTGGTTCTTGAATTGCTGCGTAAAACCGATAGCATCTCAGAATTAAAGGAGGCTTGGGGTTGTAATATTCCTTAACTAAATCCATCAACTCATGAAAGGTTTCAGTAGCTGGTGCCTCAGGGTAAGTTAGGCTCCTAATAACCAAATAAGCTGCGGCTCCACAAGCTGTTAGAGAATTACTTGTTGCTTTTCATCTGCCCTAATGTCACTTGCCTGGAAAAAAAGATTCTTTCCACATGCTTGGCCTGTCTGAAGAAGGGTCTAGGCCCGAAACGTCAGCTTTCCTGCTCCTGTGATGCTGCTTGGCCTGCTGTGTTCATCCAGCTCTACACCTTGTTATCTCAGATTCTCCAACATCTGCAGTTCCTACTGTCTCTCACATCTGAACATGTGTTAAGCAGGGAGGAACAAACAATATTTTCTTATCAAGCTGTTCAGAGAAGTTTTCACACAACTCTGGAATGCGTGGGACTTGAACCTGGATCTCCTGGCTCAGGGGTAGGGACAATACCATAGAACGACAAGAAACACCTTTCCTTCATTTCTACCATTGCACAATTAACTTTCCAATCTTACTTATATTTGTAACAAGTTAATTTCTAGCTAAATTACATTAAAAAGAAAAACATCCAATTATGGATGGGTATATGAACAGGAAGGGTTTAGAGGGTTAGGGGCCAAACACTGACAAATGGGACTAGATTAATTTAGGATATCGGGTCAGCATGGACAAGTTGGACCAAAGGGCCTGTTTCTGTGCTGTACAACTCTCACTCTCTATTTTAAATTGAGTATGAAAACTGCCCACTTTTCTGCAGTGTCTATATGGGTTTGACACTTTTGGTTAACAGCGTGGTGATATCCTACATTATTCCCTTCCCCTACTTTACACCAATGATTCAACAACAAATCCCAAACCTTCTGAAGTGTCCCTTCTTGTAACAAGATCAAGGCTAAATGACCAACACATGGGATGATGTGATTGCTTTTAGCTCCTGGCCTCCAAAAAAGCCTCATCTGCAGGCTCGATGACTGGAGAAAGAACAAAGGTGAAAATACAGTGCCACTTTGATTCGTTTCCTCCAAAAAAAAATGCAGTCAGACCTTGGGAAAAAAGAGAGAATAACAGAATAATCTTTTGGCTTTGTTATACTCATCACTGGCTGTATTTGCAGCCAACCCCAGCAGTAGGTGGATTAACACATGCACAATATCAGAGAGTGTTTATCATTTAATTTCTCTGGGCAGGTAGGCTCTTAGCCCAATCACTCCCTCCACTTTTGGTCATTTAAAGATAAACTAATTAGACATTTACTCCTTTGCACTCGATGGCATTGAAGAGATTTACTTCTTAGCCACTGAGATTCGTGCAGAATGCTTATCAATACCTGTGTTTCACCATGGCGATGGGCAGAACTGAGCACATGCAGATGGATTATAGTGGCCATATTTAATGGGAACAAACACTATGTTCATCTAGTATACTATAAATAAGTAAAGAAAGGACATAGCTCTCTCCAGTAGCCTCGTGGCATAGCTGAAGTCTCGACAGGTACAAGGCCATTATTTGCCGCGTTTAGGTAAAAGGAAATGTTTGCTAATTTCATTAGGCTCCTGCAATATCGATCAGCCATTCTCCTGGACCTCTCCGTAACAGAATTCCCAGTGTTTTCCTGTCTTGTGGACATGGACACAGAGTGCTGAGGTGACACGAACAATAAGGTGCTGAATCCCCGCAGTGGGTCATGAGTGCGATTGACATCTTCTCACACAGTTTGTTCAGCTTTTGTGTTGCAGCCCAGCTGACAGACTGAACGCTCATTCACAGAAAATCCCACCCTATCTGGACCACATGATCCTCTCAACATTGCCCTGGGTTAGTTCCAATGGTGACTTCAGCTCTGTGCCAAGTTTGCTGAGTCAGCCCAGAGCCAGTTTATTGAAGGAGTGATGAAGAGAATGCATGTGGGTTGTGGGCGATGGTAACACAAGGGCTCAGAAATGAATAAAAAAGAATCAAAATTTAGGCATCTGTGATAGAAATTTCATAACCATGATTAATGCACATTGTGATTCACTGCAGTCAACTCGATGAAGGAAATTCAACTGGCAAACTGTGTTGGACCAGGGGTATCACATCCAGAATTGATAAGCACACGGTCTTGGCCGTGTAAAAGTAACCACTTCATGTTTTGTAGTTCTGGGGAAGGGTCACCGGACCCAAAATGTTAACTCTGTTTTCTCCTCCACAGATGCTGCCAGACCTGCTGAGCTTTTCCAGCAACTTTGTTTTTGCTCATGTTTTGTAGATTGTTTTGCAGAATGTAAAGAACTGGCACAGGGTCAGCCAAACATTGTGACCATGATCCAATTATCCACCGCACTTCAAGGACAGAACAATGCGAGACGGAAGCTCATGGATTTGGTGGTGATGGTGAGTGGGTGCTGTGTCCACGTAGAACCATTAGCACCTTCTTATTAACTGATGGAAGAAATCATCAGTACAGTGGCCTCTTCAGAATTTGAACAGTTACGGCTGGAGCAATAGATTTTAAGAGATAGTAGGAACTGCAGATGTTGGAGAATCTGAGATAATAAGGTGTAGAGCTGGATGAACACAACAGGCCAAGCAGCATCAGAGGAGCAGGAAGGCTGCCGTTTCGGGCCTAAACCCTTCTTCAGAAATGGTCTAGATTTTATACCGTTTTAGCAAACTTAATTTTTGCTTTCCTTCTGAAATAAACAATTATGGCATTTAATTGCATCTTTAGCTGTCACATTTTAAAGTTCATCAATTAATGTTCTGTTACTTGACTGTCAAAATAAGTGCCTAGTATTTTATTACATTTAGATGAGATTTATTCATTTTCCAAAATAACTGAAGGTGATTGTAACGTAAAAATAGCTGCGGACCAACAGTTTTCGGAGTTTTCTTTTGCAGAAAGAGGAGAAGGCCAGCCAAAACACTTTCGACTAGATGATTCAATTACTTAGTCCCCATTTCATTGCTGCAAGCCATTCTCTAATCACTCAAGCCTTTCCGGAAGGCTCGAACGATTAGTGCCATTGTCAGAAGCATTCCAACCTGGAAGAGTTTCTCCGCTTTGTCACTCTGAACTCTCACCAAACAGAAACAGGAGATGAGTTCTAAGAAGCCACTATGAGGCCCAATGTCCATCATCAAGAGGAGCTCGAGCGCACAGCTTCTGTGCTACATTCATTCCTTAAAATAATGAGCTTGTGGTGTGAATTGTTAGGCTTCACATCACTGTGTGCGCAAGTCACAGACAGCAAAATGTTTTGATAACATAAACAGCTCCATTATCCCTCTTTATTCTTCCACGAGGAAATTGATGAGGGCGGTTCTGGGAGACAGGATGGCTTTCTTGATGACCCGCCCCTGTAGCTGTTTGATGCCCAGTTCACTTTGAAGGATGAGCTCCTGCACTCTCTCTACATTCTTGATGACTTGTTGAGGCAGGTTTACTGAGCCACAGACCTGGTTGTTGATCTGTTGGGGAGACAGACAGAGAGCACAAAATGAGAAACAACTGAGCAATTGAACAGGACACTTTGTTATTGATGGGCTTTATATATCCTTATTCAACACCAGGAACTCCACATCATGCTTTTAATAGAGTCATAGAATATTACAGCACAGCAGCCTACAGCTCAAAACATCAGCATTATCAAGGGAACTTTGAAGAAAAACAAAAAAATCAGAGTTAACGTTTTGGGTCCGGTGACCCTTCCTCAAATCCCAGCAGAAAACAAGGTGCTGTTCTTCTAGCCTGTGCTGAGCTTCGCTGGAACACTGCAGCAAGCCCAAGGCAGAGACGTTGGCCAGAAAACAGGGTGGTGTGTTGAAGTAGCTGACAACTTGTGGCAACAGAGAGTTGGTGAGTTTGACAAAGAGGATTCAAAGTTTTCAGGCGTAGGCAGCTGAAGACACAGCTACTCACGGAGGAGAAAAATGGATACACATGATAGAGTTGAAACATTCAGATTCTCCTCCACCCCCTCCCTTGATTTCCTCTTCCTTCGTTGTTACTATTTTGATGCTGCAAGACAGTGCCAAACCGTTACCCGTGTAACGAGACTGCTGATATCAGTATTTCAATTTTTAACCACATCTGGCCTTGCCTCATCCCACACACACACTCTCCATAGAAGGTGGGACTACAAGACAGGTTCCTTGGTCGGCTGCTGTACACCCTCTCTAACTCCAAAGGCATCGGATTAACTGCTGCCCTGGCTGTGACCAACTAATTCAGCGTGGGTTGTGGATTAACTATAGATCTGCCAGGTCCGGACTTGCAATTTCTTACAGAAAAGACCACGGGCGGTAAGGGACAAGGCTGCAGTGATGTCAACAACAGGAAGACAAAGGCAAATTTACCCTGACGATTATATTTCTCAAATGTAACACACATGCACCTGTCCTGTGCATATTGTATAGTTCAAGTCTGGAGCTGGCTAAGTAAACTGGTAAATGCGCCTCAAATGAAAATAGTAGGCTATTCGGCCTCTCAAATGTGCTGTCCATTCACTAAAATCATGGCTGAAGAATCGAGGCCTTCACTCCACTTTCTTGCCTGACCTCCAAATGACCCTGACTCCCTCGTAGATCAAACACCTTCTAACCCAAGAGTGAGGTTCAGAAGCAGAAGGTGTGGCAAAGATTCAATTACACTTTGTATTTGAGAAAACGGTGGCATCATGGTAATGTCACTGGACTAGTCATCCAGAGGACCAGGCTGTTGGCCTGGAGTCATGGGGTCATGGGCTCAAATCCCGCCTCAGAAACCACAACCATCGAGAAGGACAAGGATAGCAGTTACACAGGAACGCCATCAACACCTGCAAGTTCTCCTTCAAGCCACTCACCATCCTGACTTGGAAATATAATCGTTACTTCTTCAGTGTTCAGGAACTCCCTTCCTACCAGCATCTGCGGGTGCTCCTAGATCCAATGTTCCCTCTGATTTGTGTGGCCGAAGGCCGCTCCATGTGCCAGCCCATTGACTTCCAGCTTCGGAAGTCAATGCCATGCAGGGACCTCAGAGCTCCCAACACTGAAAATCACTCTAGGAGTGTTGCCTACACCCCAAGAACTGCAGCAGTTCAAGTAGGCAGCACCTCAGCCAGGGCAATTAGTTGTTAAAAATCCAGAATTTAAAACTAGTCTCTGTATCCTTGAAACCATCATTAATTGTTTTTTAAAAAAAAACTCAGGTTCACTAGTGCCGTTTTGGGAGGAAATCTGCCCTCTTTACCCGGTCTGGTCTACATGTGACTCCAGACTCTGGAGCAACGTGGTTGATTTTATCTTTCCTTTGAAATAGACTAGAGAGCCACTTAGTGCAAGAGTGATTAGGTTTGGGCATGCCAGTGATGCCTGAATCTCAGGAAAGATTAAGAAAAGATTTAAAGTTGTTTACACAGTTCACACCCACTTCAGCAGGTCAGATGTGCTTTGAAACAGTCAATAAGATTTTCAGCTTTCAACAGCCTTCATAGCTCCTGTTGGAAGCAAAACAAAGATCCTGTGACAGGCTCGAACATGCAGGGGCAGAAGTCAGATGTAGCTCACTAGAAGGTGCTCTCCCAACTCCAACCCCCTAAAAACAGAGAATTTTGGGACGAGACACAGTGAACATTCTTTCCATGCAGCAGGAAAAGGGATTGGATGGTATGCTTTTAGCTTGAGAGAAGCCAAAGCAACATTTGAGCTGGAATTCTGAGATCTTGTCCAAAAAATCCCAGGTCAGTGCTGAAACATGGATTGGTGAAGATAGCAGTCAACTGTGCATTTTAAAAGAGTCAAAGTTGAATGAAACAAACGCTGTTGACCTGCATAACGCTAACAATAGCTGTTTGATTAGAGACATATACTGTGTTGTGACGTTACACAATCATGACTCTTTGCATGGTACAACATCTGACAATAGAAACATCTGAGGCGTCTTAAACTTGCACAAGTGAAGACATGGACTTCACTGAAACATACAGAGGGTTAATCTTTATAAAAGGAAGCCCATTATTTTGAGGTGTATTAAGTATCGTTCTAGAATTAGATGGAGGTTTTATGATGACAATAGACACCTTGGGGAAGCAAATTATTAAGGTCTTCTCATGATCATTAGAGAGATGGTGTTTGAGACATAGAACGAACAGTTCCCAGTTTTCATATGCAGTGATAACATCACTCGCTCCCGAGTCAACATTATCTACTCTGTGACAATGTAATACAAATGGAATGTTGAAACTACAAGTAACTGAGTGGAGATGAAACAACGCTAGCTTCACATTGGACGCATGAGGCCTTTCTCTCTAATCCTGAGTTGGATAACAAACCCCTCCAACACTCGCACACGCAAGTTGCCCCCTAACACTGCTCGACCCAGATACAGCAACTTGGTCATGACTCCGCTCTTGAACGACTACTGGCCCAGTCATGCATAGAAATTTCATTTTAAATTCATTCACCGGACCTGGGAATCACCAGGCAAAGTCAGCATTTGTCATTTCATCCCAACATCGGAGTGGCTTGCCACACCTTTGGTTTCAGAGGACAGTTGAGAGTTAACCCTATCATTGTGTACCTCTTCACATGCTGAGCAAGGATCAGGTATCTAGTAATGTGGAAGCCAGCATCAGCTACCTTGGAGACACAGAAAGGATTACTACTGGGGAATGGTGCATCATGATAATAATAGAGAAAAATGGAGAAAGTGTAACAGAAGCAGTGCAGCCAGAAGCAAGTGTTAATTTAGGAGTTGCTTCCCTCAGTCATGGTGGAACATCTACTCCTCACTTCGCATCTTACCCTGACAACCATCGTCACTGTGTCTGGCTGCTGCAGATAAGCTGGGTCCACGTTTGGCCACTGCTGAAACAGCACATCTGTGTCCCACTGATAGTGAATGGTCAGCTTGTTCTGGACACTGGAAAGACCTGCAACAGACAGGAACACTAGCATTTGTACATCAGCAGAAAGCTTAAAGTGGGGTTTCCTGAAAGACTTGCAGCTGGTGGCACTTTGGAGGAAGTCATAAGGGAGGAGTGCTTCAGACTCTGGTGTGCACACTGCAAAGCAAATTCCCCTGTGCCAGCTTAGAAACCACAGACCCACGTTGTGAACACAACACCAGACTTTCACGTGATAGACCCATGGGATTTCACAAACTAGCACTCTCTCGCATGACGACACAAAAAGAAAAATCTGTCACAGTGCACCCCAAATAGCCTGGCTTTAATACCAACTTTGTTTTAGAGAACAGAATTTGCATAAATGACTCTAGGCCACAAAGCAAGTCAATAAGGATGCGTTAGTGCAATAATACATTGCCTAACTCGAATAACTTCTTTCACTGTTGGTATTCAAGCAAATAAATTTTGATCTCATGTACCAAATATAACAGGCACATGCATCACAAGATGATGTTTGGGGATTATCTGGTCATGGGCTGGGAAGAGCGGCACATTTTTTAAAAATCAAATGACGACTGAGTATCAAACCTCCCCTTCCACATGTCCCTAAAATCATTTTTATTTAGTCTTTTATTTACTCTTTAAAATGGTCCAAAAGAATGAGGCTGCGTTATAATAACTGGGGGATAGACGATCCTATGCAGCAATGAGAAAAGTCAAGAAGTGATTGAAGGGAAGCCGGGGTGGGGACTACCAGTATCAAGTCAGCTTGGAGCTGGGGTGGGAGGGCAGGTGGGTAGGAAGCTGTGCCAGGTTGAGGGGGGAGTGAAGAGCCACTGGAACGCCCACACTACCCTGGGATTACAGTCAGGCTTCCATCATTTATCCACATCTCCTTCCACCACCCCCCCAGCCCTTCAGATTCCTTCATTGCAGGTATTCCAACACCTCAAGGACTGCAGCAATTCAAAGCAGCAGCTCACCATCACCTCCACCTCCTCACTACCACCACCACCTCCTCACCACCACCACCATCACCTCCACCTCCTCACTACCACCACCACCTCCTCACCACCACCACCATCACCTCCACCTCCTCACCACCACCATC